ACCCCCGACTGGAGTAATCCCGGATACACCCCCGCCGGCATACAGTCCGCCAAGGAAATGAGTGGCGGTTTCGGAGGCGAATGTGTCGGGCGTGTGTTTGGGCTTTCTTATGCAGCAGCTATGACAAGGAGGCCCTGACTGCTTTGAATTTCCGCCTAGAGCCCGCTGGCAGCAAAGACGTCTCCCCTGACGAGAAACTATACGCCCCCTCAAGAAGGGGTTACGACGAGAGCTGCACGTACGACGAGGTTTCGACGAATCGACCCAGGACAACGTGGACTCCCTTCCCACACCCGCCCACCGTCGACTGCCTTCGCACACCCGCCTACCGTCGACGATGCCTTGCACTGGTTTCCGTTTCCGAGTCCGGGGCAGCTGCTCCGGACACATGATTATACGCAGCGTTCCCTCGCAGCGACCGCGTACTCACCGTGGCCAACGTTGAGTGCGGCTACTATTCACAACCGCGGCTACCGTAAAGGTGTTTTCTGTTCGGCCTGAGGCGTTCTTCGGCCGTGGAGGTTTTCCTTGCTGCCTGGAGAGGAGGGGGGCAGGCGTTGTTGTTGGTTGAGGAGGAGGAAAGCCGTGTCGGCAGTTGTTGTTTGGGAGTTATGTACTGAAATTGAAGCGATGGTTTATTGTTTTGAAACCTTCCGTGCCTCTAGAAACGCTTCTGCGCTGTACAAACCGTGCATTACAACACGACTTATTCTTCTGGGATTAGGTATGCCGACCAACTGTGCAGGTAAATGACTTTGTGGGCAGCCTATGTATTCATTGTAGCCGGTTGGAAAGTGCAGTTGACAAGGAGAACTCTTTGATCCCCTCAGCCATCGCAAGTGTAGGGGTGGGCAGCTATCAGGCGATGACCCCCATATAATCTCAGGAGCTCCGTTCATCACCAAGTATGTCCCCCGGTTCGCCGGTCTTAAGAATCACAGCCTCTGGACGCGAAAACAACATTCACATGAACAATCTTCGCCAAGCGATGGTTTTCCATCAAACCGTCGTACATTGCGAGCTCAATATACCGAAGTTTTCGCACGCGTCTTTGTACGCAGCCTTGCATAGTAAGTTGCGAGCGCATCTCTGCTCATCGGACTATGTTATGAATCAGGTCTCTTGGGCGGGTGAAGAGCCTCGTCAGAAGGACAATCTTGTCCAAGGGCCTTTTTTGTTTATTTATGGATATGTAGAATGCAGAACGTCGGTGATGGTCTTGTGGAGCAAGCAACGAAAGCAAGCAAGGAACTATCACAAACGCAACACAAACGGCAGAGTCTCTACTCCCGCGCTTCTAAGGGAAGTTCAAAAGCACTGTTGAGGAACTACGCATGAGCGGGCCATCTGATGCGCACAAGTTCTTCCTTATGAGTTTACGTACAATCCCGCAGCCCCTCCTCGACTCTGTCCCAACCAATTCTTCTAGGCTGTCGCTTCAACCCTGCCTCCACTTGCAACCACTTTCTGGTGGCGATACCGGTTGGTTTCAAGAAGCGTTGAAGCGTCTCAAATCCTCTGTTGTCATGCAGCAAGCCCCCATTTGAAGGACCTGTCTGTCGTGTTTCCGGTGGCGGAAACCCATTTTGCGTCGTGTGTTGTTGCTTATGTTCTACTAGTGAACGGCTGTGTGATGACCACACGGCGTGGAGTCATTAGTACAGCGCCACTTAATGTAAAGTCATGTGTACGTTGCATTCAGGGCGTATGTGTGAGACACGGTTTCATTCAGTGTCGTCGTTCAAGCTCCTCCACGGCTCCGCTCCACAATGCGCCGCCCAATCACAACTAATCACTCAGCGGGTGGTGGGAAAATTTTCCGCTTTGCGCCACCGGGCGCCACCGTGGGAGCCACCACACGCTCACTTTGCTCTATGTGTATATAGTGAAGTGACACGGGGGGGGATGAAGGGGGGGAGTGAAGCTGGGTGGTTGGAAGGTGGTGGAGAGGATGGGCGGATTTCTGAGGATGAAGTCAAGCGTTGATTCACAGCTAACACTCGTACTAATTCAACCCGCATTCTATCACCTGCCACTCGCTCCTCCACAATGCGCCACACAATCACAGCTAATCACTGGGTAAATTTTCCGTGTTGCGCCACCTCACTTTGCTCTATACAGTGAGCCGTCACGTGATAACAAACAAAAAAAGAAAAAAAGAAAAAAAGAAATCGTGTACGCCGTGATTCGAACCCGGATCTCACCCATCGGCCCCAGTATCCCCGCTATGTTGGGCAAATACTGGAGTGGGGGCACGCTCTGCCATTAAGCTACGTACACTTGTGATGTCAAAGTGAACTCGCGAAACTTCATATAGGTCATCGCCTTGTATGTTCGAGGCGTAGAAAAGAAAGTTGCGAAGAAACCCCACACAGCAGGACGCGCCGTCATGGTTTTTGACATGGTTAACTCGAGGTAAAACTATGAACCCTCCCACCCGCAAAAAAAACACCGCCAGTAGAACTCTCGGCCGGAGGATCTAATTGCGATGCGCGGGTACCAACGGCACGCGACACCAACCGGCTATGATTGTTTCACAGTGATTACGATCGTACGGTGCAGGTGGCCTTAAACCAACCTGTCGCTCAAAATTTCCCCGACTTCAATAACATCACAAGATTGCGCGACTGGTGGAAGCCAGCGCCTCAGTCTTACAGAGCGCATCTTATTTAGGGGACGGGAGGGCTGTTTCCCCAGAGTTCTCACGTGGTGATCAGTTTATTATAAACAGTCGTTGCCGTCTCCACCACCGCCGACGGGTCGGTTTAAGGCCGCCTGCACCATATAAGGATATTCCTGCATACTTTACACGGCATATGACTCGGTGTGGAGCCAGGATTTCTTGGGGGCGGAGATTTTGGTTTGGCTGCGTGTGGATTTGGAATCCAGCGACTATGTGGTAGGGCAAATGATGATCTCTTGAGGGTTTCTTGGCCCGGGCTTTTGTGGGCTGTTTTTTTTGGAAAAAACAAAAAACAAGAAAAAAACAAGAAACAAACCATCCCGTGATGGATGTGATCTTCAAACATAATCAAGAACTTTGGTGATATCAAGTTTTCCCCTTCCCTCAAGTCTGTCGATGTTTGCAGCCGATATTACGATACCGCGGCAAAGAAAAAAACTCGATTTACCATGCGATGGATCTTCAAAGGTGCTTCCCAACGGCTCGGCGTAGGACTCGGCGTGGGACGCGATGCGGGGTTTCAAGCGTAGAACGTGAAGCGTGGAGCATGGAGTGTGGAGGATGCGGTGGGTAATCTACAGCTTCAAACCCGAAGTCAACTGGATGAAAACTGACAAAGTTATGGCAGGAGAAGCATACTCAAAACACAGAGGCTCGGCGCAGGACTCAGCGTGGAACGCGATGCGGGGTCTGGAGCGTGGAGCTAGGAGCTTGGAGCTTGGAGCGTGAAGCTTGGACGGTGGAGCGAGGAGGATGCGGTGGGTAATCTGCAGCTTCAAATCGCATGAAAACTGACAAAGTTATTGCCAGAGAAGCGGACCCAGAACATAGAGGCTCGGCGCACGACTCGGCGCGGGACTCGGCGCAGCACTCGGCGCAGGACTCGGCGTAGGACGAGATGCGGGGTTTGGAGCGCGGAGCTAGGAGCGTGGAGCGTGGAGGATGCGGTGGGTAATCTGCAGCTTCAACTCCCAAGTCAATCAGATGAAAACTGGCAAAGTTATGGCCGGAGAAGCATACTCAAAACATAGAGGCCGAAGGCCGCAAGAATCTTGTATATAGTGATAGAGTTGGGGGGGAAAGCCGTAGGTAAGCAACCATTTTCTGGGTTGACAACCGCGCTACAGCAAAAATCGGTTGCCAACCTTGCGATCATGTGCTTTACATAGTGTAGTGCAGATTTGAACGCTCGTCGCCACAACCCCTCCTGCCACAAAGACCCAGCGACAAAATTTAGTTTTCCACATACACAACTGAAAATGACTGTTGATTTTAAGGTTACCACCCTTCAAACCACGGTTCAAAATTACCTTGAGCCTGGAAACACTGCTTTGTACCAGGGACCTATGTCTCAGTCACCGCATAAAGAACGACCTGTATCACCGCCTCCTGCCAAAAAAAATAAAGGCGGCCACCCCACAGATCCACTGATTGACGAACTGTTGCAGATCGATGAAAACCAAGCAAACACAAACCAACATGCTTCTCTTGCACTAACTATTGCCGATTTTGCCACAAAGTCTCTGCGGCAAGAAACGGTCCCCAAGCAAAGAGACACGCAGCCTTTCAGTGTTCCATTGCCTCCTAAAGCCGTTGCTAGTCTTTCGCTTTTGGATGCCTGGGTGGAGTCAAAGACCCATGGCATCACGCCCCTCTTGGAAATTCTCTTCCTTTATAACGAGGTTGCAACCGCTTCTGAGCCAGAAGATTAGAAAAGCGGCGAGTAGGGATACTATTGGGCCGTTGGTATCTCCCACGATAACCACAGGCTTCCGGGCCTCCAGTTAAATCCAGTCCATGACCTTCGTGTAGGTCCAGTCCAATCCTCATAAGGCTGAGGGAGCTGCCGATGAGTTCTGCTGCAGCTGGGGGAGCCGCCGGAGCATTCTGCTACAATTTGTAAGCACAGTGCCTTATCCATGCAAAAGCATAGCAGTCGTACCTTGTGTATATATTTTATTTGTTTTGTTGAAGGGGCTGTTGGGGAAGCCACCGGAAGTGTCTCTTGGGATAGCGGGTGTGGAGTTCTGCTGGGGACGCTGTCGAAGGAGAGAAATTGTGCGGGTGAGCAGAAACATTCACACATGAGCTTTACATTTAATGCTGAGCACTCGGACCATTTTGACTAGCTTCTACGCGCTATACATTTTGTGTTGCTACTCGTCGGTGGTGTCGTTTTGGCCGGGCCACGGAATCTCGCGTGGACGGTTGGCAACTGGTTGGTAGCCGTTCTTGGCAGTTCCCCCCAACTCTATATAGTGATAGATAATCGGGATGTGTCACATGATAGCAAACAAAAAAAGAAAAAAAAAGAAATCGTGTACGCCGTGATTCGAACCCGGATCTCACCCAGCAGCCCCAGTATCCCCGCTATGTTGGGAAAATACTGGAGTGGGGGCACGCTCTGCCATTAAGCTACGTACACTTGTGATGTCAAAGTGAACTCGCCAAACTTCATATAGGTCATCGCCTTGTATGTTCGAGGCGTAGAAAAGAAAGTTGGGAAGAATAGAGAAACCCCACACAACAGGACGCGCCGCCATGGTTTTTTACATGGTTAACTCGATGAACCCTCCCTCCCGCAAACATCACCGTCAGTAGAACTCTCGGCCGGAGGATCTAATTGCGATGCGCGGGTACCAACGGCACGCGACACCAACCGGCTAAGATTGTTTCACAGTGATCATACTGTTAGGTATCTCCCCCCGATCTGAAAACTTCCATTTGCGCAGCCTTAGCTGACTATGCTCTCGCCTCCCACCTACCCCGAGCGGCCACCCCCCGGGGCTGGAACATGTGTGGTATCCAGGCCTAGCTCCAGGCAGAGGGGATAGATGTGCACGAACGCCGCCCCGCAACAGGGTCGCATACTGTTGCATCTAGGCAGCTGTTGCGCCTAACAACCCTCACAGCAAGATATCCAGAGCACACGTTCCTCAGGAGAATCGCCCCGGGACAGCCCCAAGCCAAGTTGCAGCCTCCTCCAAGTTGCAATGATGCACCCACACCTGCGCGGTCGGCCATGGCCGTCGTCAATGTTCACCCCCCAACCAAGCATGCTGCGGGCAAAACAGAACGATCGCATCGGCGAGCAGTTGATGAACCGGGATTGCTGAGTTTTGGCGAGGCTGTCGAAGAGCGGCCAGGTTATGCTGTCGTCTGGATTGGGAGGATTTGTCAGTGACCGAGCCGAAGCACACGGTAGCTAGCTAGGGGACCTTTCGCATTGCGTACCGCGCCTTGCCGGATGACGGAACGCGCGGGAGTTTGCTTTTGGGGCGCGGTCATTGAGGGAGAGGGATTGAAGTTGCTGCAGGCTGTCATATAAGGGGGCGGTCGAATGACTGTCGGCACCGCGAGAAAAGCTTGTAGTAATGGAGGGCGGAGGTGTTTATGTAGATCCGATCTTTCGACAGCAGGATAGAAATGATTATTGGTATGTTCGGCATAGCAGTATGGGTGCGCACGCGACCGACTGCTTCGTTTTGACTCAACTGTCACTGTGTTCGAGGAACATTGTCTGATTTGTGTCGATCAGACGCAAATGGCCTGGGTATGACATCGCGGGTCGTGAGGCCGACGCTTTTCAGCTCTGGGGGCTGCGGGGTACCGAGAATGTCAGCCGTTTTATTCTTGACTGCAATCAACTGCCTTATGCGGCGTCAGAATCTTCTTTACCAGCTATGGACGGCGGAGTATTCAAGGCGAGAGGGGGGGACAAATTCACGGCTGTACGTCTGATGGAGTTCATGGTTTTTCCGCAAATCAAGCCTGCACCTGGCAGTGCGCCCGGCGTTACAGCTGGGTTCGCGGCTCTGCGGGATTTTCGGCTCACTCGAGTCTCTTACTTTTTTTTTTTTTTTTTTTTCAAATATCGTGCGCGGAACCTCCAACACTGCGCGGGTAACTCGGCACTTGACTCTGCACCGGCATCCGGCCCCGCGCACGCGCAGCCATGAAAGCCACTTGATGACGGCGGTCGCAGGGACGTGGCAGTCGTCGGCCGCGACTACCCGAGGGCAAGGTTACCCTGCAGCTCGCGATTATAGACGTACGAGTTAAGCGGTCGCTTTTAAATTCCAGATTCCGGCGCTGGCAGGCCATTCAAAATCTTCCCTGTGGAGAGTTGCCAGCGGAATGGGCGACTCACTTTCCCAAGCCCAATTTTGGGTGTCCCTTGAGCCTGTCAAATTTGATTTTGCAGTCGTGTGGCGCCCACAGGCAGACAATGGGGCAGCGGTCACCGAGTGCTGTGCAGTGAGACAATCGGAGGGACGATGGGAGCCGAAGTTCGCTAGATCGCTTAGCTCCAGCCCGCAGTTGGATTCTTGGTTTGCAGCATCTCAACTGCGGGGCTTCACCCAACGATATGGCCACGAGAAATAGCCGAAGAGGAAAGGGTCGCCCTCTTAGCGTTGGCGGGCGAGCAGGCAACTGATTTGAATCGCTGCCAAGGTCTGCTACACCCTAAGCGATAGTTTTGCTTGTCCGCTAATGCGTTCTGTGTTATAGGTTGCTCGGCCCGATTGTTGCCGATGACCGGACGACTGCAGGAACCGTTGCTTCCACAACAACGTCGTCGAGCACAAAGCTCCGCCTACACCGTAGATCTCATTTGGGTTTGCCGTTTATACGGTGAACAAGATACCGACTCCATCCATCCAACCCACTAGGCACGGTGACACAAAACAGCCGCTTTTGCATGGCGTGGTCGCTTTCTTCCGAGCTTGGTAATCGCCGGATTTGAGGGTTGGTTTCTGGGGCTTTCACGATAATGGAAGCCTCCACACAATGACATGCTTTGAATCCACCAGGGAGAACCTGGAGGCTACGCTCCTGAAAAACACCATCGATGGGGACGAGTAGAAACCTCCACCAAACATCAAGCTTCGAATCCACCAGGGAGGACCTGGAGGCTGCACTCCTGGAAAACACCATCGATGAGGACGAGCAGAAACCTCCAACCAACATCAAGCTTCGAATCCACCAGGGAGAACCTGGAGGCTACGCTCCTGAAAAACACCATCGATGAGGACGAGCAGAAACCTCAACACAACATCAAACTTCGAATCCACCAGGGAGGACCTGGTGGCTGCAATCCTGAAAAACACCATCGATGGGGACGAGCAGAAACCTCAACACAACGTCAAGCTTCGAATCCACCAGGGAGGACCTGGTGGCTACACTCCTGAAAAACACCATCGATGAGGACGAGCAGAAACCTCAACACAACGTCAAGCTTCGAATCCACCAGGGAGAACCTGGAGGCTGCACTCCTGAAAAACACCATCGATGAGGACGAGCAGAAACCTCCAACCAACATCAAGCTTCGAATCCACCAGGGAGGACCTGGCGGCTGCACTCCTGAAAAACACCTTCGACGAGGACGAGTAGAAACCTCCAACCAACATCAAGCTTCGAATCCACCAGGGAGAACCTGGAGGCTACGCTCCTGAAAAACACCATCGATGAGGACGAGCAGAAACCTCCACAAAACGTCAAGCTCCGAATCCACCAGGGAGGACCTGGAGGCTGCACTCCTGGAAAACACCATCGATGAGGACGAGTAGAGACCCCAAGACAACAACAAGCTTTGAATCCACCAGGGAGGACCTGGAGGCTGCACTCCTGAAAAACACCATCGATGAGGACGAGTAGAAACCTCCAACCAACATCAAGCTTCGAATCCACCAGGGAGAACCTGAGGCTGCACTCCTGAAAAACACCTTCGACGAGGACGAGTAGAAGCCTGAAGTCGGCATCGCCGTTGCTATAGGCCGAGGAATGGTAGGTTTCTGCAAAGGTTTCAAGTGAGCGAGAGAAGATGGTGATGTAATGCTACCCAGTGGTTTGCCTGGCAGGAAGGTTTCAATGCACGCTCTGTTTTCTCAACTATGTTGTAAATATCGTGTTCTAAAGTCGCTATCTTCATTGCATTCGTGAGCATCATGTTTTGGGTCATTACCATCCAATCCATTCATCCAGGTAGCTATGAGCATTGACGCAGCTTCCAAAGAGTACGCCTTGTTGTGGTTGCATTGCTGCCGACGCCCACATATTGTGTTGGAATATTACTCCGACTATCGATGTTTGTTTTGCTTCTTGGGGGGGGATTTACGCGATGCCTCACAAACCGCAGTGTTACAGACATCTGGTGGCCGCCACAGATAAGGTGGATTAACTATTCGTACTAAGATACTTCATTTTCGTGTGCTAGCTCTGCTGTCAACCTGATGGCTGATCCTTAGGCGGTTTAACCTGGTGGAAAACCTCGCTTGTTGTGTTTCACAGTATCGAAGCCAAAGCCTCGCTTTTCGTCACGTATGACGATAGGGATAAGCTGAGATAATTTTGATGCTTCCATGCCACGGAGGAAAGGGTATTTGCGTCCGTGAAAAATACGCCCAACTGCTGCGTGAACTGTCTTCCCTTTGAGGTAGGTCCATACGCCCTTTTATAGCTAACACAAGATGCACCCAGCAATACTGGTGTCCGAAGCGGGCATGTTGTCCTCCCATTCCATTGACCTAGCCCTTGGAACCGAGCCCCTGACAATTTCCTACCGTCTCTTAACGCGTCCATTGAGTTCGCATCCTGCCAACGCTATGAAGGGTTTAATCATGGCTTGACCAGGCAATCCTACGTCGCTAATTGGGTGTTGGTTCGCCAACACGTGGTCTACCCGGATAGCGCCGTAAAGCAGGCCCCCCTAAGCGACGGTCTAGATCAGCTGCTGTGGCCATTTCAAGCACGGTCTGGAATGATGACCGACTGTCGTAACGGAGCTTTCTATCACACATAACGAGCGGGGACGTAAAGATTCAGAAGGCGGATGTAGATTTCTCCGTGACGAATCATTGCTTTTGCTATTCTGTTAGTTCTGTTCGTCAATCAGACGGTAAGAGTTAGTAAGTCGGGTAATATATGGTTAGGGCTAGGGCCAGGGCTAGCGTACCAGTGCCTCAGTTGTCGACCAATTCAGAGGACAAGCCAATCTGGCCCAAGTGGCCAGGACTAGACTGCTGGTTAGGGACGCCTCTGTTACGTCTGCAGATGTAGGTAACGTGGGACGATAAGAGACCTGGAAAAACGCGGTCGTGAGAGTTCGGATAGCCCCGCACTAGGTAAGGTACTAGATCAAATGACTGACTGCTCCTTCCCGCTGCCCCTCACCCTTCTAGGTAGGTCACAGACTTTGCCCCACTGTACCCACCCCCACCCCCACCGCACCCGCACCTGCACCCGCACCACCCCCACCCCCCCAACCGGGTTATCCCTTTTGCATCCTCCTTCCCCCCTTGACCGGTCTGTCTGTCGTCACTGTTCGAACAGCTAGCGACAGAATCAATGGGTACCACGATCGCTCAGTGCCTCCATCTCCTCACGGACCAGCAACTGAACGAGCTGCTCCAGCCGCTCTCGCAC